TGTGTGTGTATACAGTATATATATATTAACACAGATGACACTAAAATAATGACGTTACGTGACGTGTGGCCAAGTATGGTGTCCCATACTTGGAATTTGTGCTCTGCATTTAACCAAGTGCACAAACACAGCAGTGAGTAGAGAAGAAACACACGTGCACGGCACACACACACACACCCGGAGCAGTGGGCAGCCATTTTTGCTGCGGCGCCAGAGAGCAGTTGGGGGTTTGGTCCCTTGCTCAAGGGTCTCCCCTCAATCATGGTATTGAAGGTAGAAGAGAGTCCGAGATTCGAACCCACGACCTTTGGGTTACAAGTCCTATCTATGTATCCATCTATGTATCTATCCACACTGTATATACACTGTATATACTGTACATACATGCATACATATGGGGAAGTCGTTTTCACTGTTGCCCATATAGAGCACATAACAAAAATGTTGTTCTTCAGCATTCAAAGTTAAACAAATGTGTCTATTAGAATCTGAATAAAAGCTTCAAGTGCTTCTCAGTCAAGTCTTTGCAGGCCAGATGTAGCGACAGATGAGGAGAACAGACAATGCACTGTATTTATCTGTTCTGACCTTGTCATATGCCTTTAAGTACATTTAAAGTATATTAAAGTACATTAAAGTGTATTCTGCGCACAAGCCTGTCCAGACGTTCACACTGCTGTGTTGGCAGTATGTTTCTCAAGCCTTTCTCTTTCTCACCACAGCAGAATCCTCTCTCTTAGTTTAGCTAACAGGATTGATGCAGCACAGCATGATGGTCTAAATCTGCTCGTCCTGATCTCATTTTGGCGTTCTGCCATGAAGTTGACTTGTACATGAAACCTTGTATCTTGAAGTTCTCCAGAAGTGGCATTGGGGCGAGAATGTCAGGTGATGAATAGAAACAAGTGTCTAATCTTTTCTTATCACTTCCCTTTTCAACAACATTAACCTAGGAAGAGCAAAACACATATGACTGCTGTACTCAAGTGTACATCAAACAAAATAATGCAAGGTAAAATGAAATAAAATCGGACTGCATCAAACTGACTACAGTTCATTTTGTGCTGAATTACAAGCATGACATTTTGGAGACATTTAGAAACAATGTCATACCTTGTGAAAAAGAAGCAAACTGAAGCATTCTTTTGAAAAGAGTACAGAAAAAAAATATTTAAATCAACATAATTGTGAACACTTTATTGCGTGTTAATTACAATTACATTTATTATTGTATTATAGTTTAAATTTATATTAAGTGCAATTAGTTGAATTTAAGAGTGCTTTTTTGACCCAATTAAGTAGGACTTAAGTAGGACTCTATTGTCTTTGAAATATGCTGATTTTACTGACAAGCATTTATGGTAAACTAAAATATAATTTAATGTCACTTCTATTGAAAATCGTATGTCATTTACTTATATATTTTTCAAATTATATATTTGTTATGATAAAGTTGCAATTTAGAACATTTAAAATATGCTCAAACACTAAAATGCCTTATTAAAACGAATATCAATGTAATATCAAGTAACACTGCAGTTCAAATTGTAAACAAATACTTTACAAATGCTTTAGTATGTTAGTCAACACATCAAAATGAGTGTACTTCGTTCATTAAGATTATTAAAGCAATGATTTTAATATGTACTTTAAAGTAAAAATGCATTTTAAGTGTACTTAAGTGTTAAGAAACAGTAATGAAATTGAATTCTCTTTTATATACACTTATATTTCATTAATATTATATTATCTGCAAGTACAGTTTTTTATTAGATATAAAAATACAATTAAATATACTTTTATGATTTGAATTAAGTGCACATTCAGTACAATTAAGTGCACTTCTTTTTCACAAGGTATTTTAATAATTTAGCACAAACTTTGTATTTAATAAAGTGCAATGTTTGATTTTAAGGACATTTTAATTTTCACATGGTAAAAAAATGTTAGTAGTGTGTTGTGTCAGCAAAGTTTACATGTATGCAAATGAGAATGGGAGAGCAGACGGTGTCTTGTCAACACAAATCCTTCAATTACATACCTATAATAACAACAGAGATTATATTATGATGTTGCTGTACTGCCCTGGAAACTTCATCCAAGTTTTGTTGAAATGTTGAAATGAGTAACGCTGACACTGCATGGCCATAAAGTGACCCAGGAGAGTAAGCAGGGCAGATAACAAAACATATAGGGGTTCATTATCATTAGCATTGGCATCCAGCTTCATACTGATCTGGAGAACATGTTATAAGAGTTTACTTCACTTTCATTTGCATTCTGCTTGTCATTACCAAAATTTAAGGCACTCAGTTTTATGTACCAAAAATAAAAGTCAACATCAGGTCAGTTGACCTCAGGTAAGTGTGATGAACACAACAAAAATGACGCATTCAAATGTGAAACACATACGTTTTGTGGGTGTACACTATGTTCTCTCTGTCTCACCACAAAAGCACGCGGAGTACACAGCAAGGCCTCTGCGGAGGAAGAAGTCACACACATGCATGCACTCGTGTTCATACACGTCGACAACAGGCAGTTTCACCTATTTTTAATCAGATGGCCCACAAAGAAACATGATTTACTCCTATGAGTCTTACTAATAGAGAAACTCTACAATACTTACTTGTCAAAGTCGCCTGCAATAAGTGTGCTTATGAACTGCCATGCAAGGCATACCGAGACATATTTTTGGGATCCTCCACATTAAGCTTGCTGACAAGGTGAATGGTTGTGAAATATATGGGTGCTGTTGGAAGCTATAATATCACAGACCCCTGCTTCACACCGACACGGGAACAGTGCAGTACGGGCAACAGAGAGTTCAGGCCTGCAGTCATTTGCTGACTCTGTCAACTATGATTTGGGCCTAAAAATGAGTCAGCCACACAACTTTCATGGTTAAAAAGATGAAGGGCAATACAAAAGTTCAGTTGTATATTTAATTAAAGCATAAAATGGATGATGCATTACCTTATGAAAGCCATTATGTGGAAGTTTTAACATGGAAAACAACCAATCAGATGCAAAGCTTAACCCTATAAAGCAATATGCAAATGCCTTTAAATTATAATAATGATAAAAAAATGCATGCACGTATGCATATATATATATATATATATATATATATATATATATATGTGTGTGACTGTGTATACATACATACACCAAACTGTATTGCATGTGCATTTATTACTTCAAAGACTGCAGGCATTTAACTTTGCTAGAAGCATTGCTCCATACTATCTGTTTATTCAACACAGTCACATGCTCGTTCAAAGGCGTTCGGTAAGAAAACCAGATTCTCTGTGTTTCTAGACTGCGGCGTTCGTTTATGTCTCACTTATGTCACCGCACAGATAGAGGGGGCAGTGCCTCAGGTGTTTGCTTAAGTTTGTTGACTTGTACTGTACTTCCCACCCCTGTCCTTCACAGCATGTGACATACGTTGAATAACATGTTTTTCTCAGGCCCTGATGGAAAATGCTGCACTGTAGGTGTACTCCAATGTACGTGATGCAATGCATGCAGTGTCTGTAAGAGCTAAAGAGGTCCAGTTCATTGAAAATTGATACATTTGAGGAGTCAGAGGTTTCTTTCAAATGCATGCACCTCTGTTTCTATGATGTATGAGTATGTCCCTTAACCCCATGCAGCATGTAGGCTGTTTTCTCCTCTTCTCTGATTTCAGACCGCTGAAAAGGAGCACATCTGATTCAACACTTTGTGAAACCCCAAACCTCAGAACACAACTACTTCCCTGATCAGTCATAAACCATAATTGTACTTTTACTTGTAGCTTGTAATTGTTAAATTGTATATTTCCTTTTTTTTTGTCATTAATTGTTTCATGCATAATACTTTGTCAATAAAGCATGTAAACAAACTAATCAAGCTATCAAAATACTGCAAATTGAATTGAATTAAGTTTAATATTAGAGGGGCGCTGATGTTTTTCCAGCAAGTTTTGTTAGCTCAATTTTTAGCTCTGCAGAACAACATAAATCTGTCACTGAGGAATGATGTGTAAAATAAGATGAATATCTAGAATCGTTGTGCTTAACACACACTAAAGCATGCATTAATTGCAGAATAAAAAATTTAAAGAAATTTGGAATTACAGACAATTAAAGTACGGAAGCCAGTTATTACGGGATTACGTACTAATCTGACTCTTGTAAAGTCCAGCACGTGCAGTTGTGAAATGAAAGCACTAAAGCATTCATATTTTTATTTATTTGTGTGTGTGGGTTGATATTGCTTTGTGAAATCTTGCCTGCACTGATTTAGTTAATTCACTGAAGAGAAATATCGCCACCTGCCAGCTGCCAGCTGCCAGTTGATACAAAGAAAAACTCTCTAACCCTAACAAATAGCTCACATGAAATTGTCCTCGTTTACTCACAATCAATGCATACCCACGTGACTTTCATTCTACTCTGGAACATTCTACAACAAAAAATTAAGAATGTATCTAAACCATTATTTTCCATATAATGGAAGTGAATAAAGACCTAAACTTCAGAAAAAAATTGGATCACATGGTGCCTAAAAATTATTTTTTTTCCCTATTATTTATTATACATTCACACACTCAAACCACTCAGACAAAAAACTTAAAACAGATGAAGTCACTCTTATACAGGTGTAATTCACGATTCAAGGCATTATCCGGTGTAAACATGAGATGCATTAACTATGCAGGCAAACGGTAGTGTCCTCTCCTGTCTGACAAAAAGGAATGATGGCTTCTGCATGCTGCCTTTTTAAGCAGAGCTTTCCAATTACAACAATAAAACTGAAATTAAAAGCTGATTGTCTTTCAGTAACATTCCAGCACTGTTGGAATAGCAGCAGCAGCAGCAGCAGCAGTATCTGTTTCCGTGAAGCAGCTTAGAAATCCCAGAACGGCATCTTTAGCAGCAGTACTCACTCTCTGGATCCGAACAACATCAGTCACAATCACATTCAGTATGTGTAGCACATAGCACGGGCTTGAATCAAGACGCTTCTTCTTGAAATGCATACTTTCACTCTCACTCAGAAATATTCATCCCCCAGTGAGAAGAGCCTGTTAAATGCATTAGTAGACAGCTTCATCCATATTGTCATCACTATCCGTGCCGAAATCCTCTCCGTTGTCAAAGTAGGAAATGATGTAGTCTGTCTCCTGAAACACAGAACACAGAGCATTAAAAATGCTTTCCTAGGAGCCTTCCTAAGCTGCTTGGATATTTAAAGAGTGATCGCGCTAATCATTTCAAACCATATTTTTTACATAAGGGCTAAGCCAATGGAAAGTAACAATGATTTATACTGCCTACGAACCAAAATATCTCCTTTTGTGGAAAAAGGGAAGAAAATTTGCAAACGACAACACCACAAAGATTGTAAGATATTATCTATCAAATTATGATGATTTCTTCTTACATCTTCAAGCTCCTCTCCATCATAGTCTTCATCCGGCTCCTCCTCTTCCTCCTCATTCTGTTTCTTCTTCTCTTCGCCCTCCTCTTCCTCAGAATGCTGCTCTTGTTCTCTTTTCTCAAGTGTCTAAATGTCATTGCACAATATTAACGTTGCATGCATGGATGAAACATCAGCATTGAAAACAGAAAAGTGGGAGAAGGCAGAAAAGCACACGTGTCATTTGTTTCAGTCTGTTAATTTGTTTCTATTTAAAGTTTTTCAGTTAGCTCACCCTTAATCTGATTTTTGAAACTTTTTCCAGTTTATTTGAATGTCAAAGCATGGTTACAACAGCTTATGCACAGCACAGTTAACGCAACATAACACAGTATTATGCTTTCAGTGAACTTATACCTCTAGTTTTTGGAGAACCTCTTCTTTTCTAGCAGCTACTTTTGGTTTTTGTGTGAGTTGTGGTTTGGCACCTATGAATTAAAATGGAGCAGAAGAATTACAAAACATGCTTTCCACATATTATAACATGCATTAGCATTAATATCAAGCCTGTGAACCTACACACATTAATAATAATAATAATAATAATAGTAATATAGAGTTTCTCTCACCTGTTTTACTTGTTTTCCGTACTTTAATGCAAAGCTCTTTTGGCATTCGGCTCCAGTCTGGAATGAATTTGAATATTTTTTAGAGAGAACTGACTTTGAAATAGATTTGACTGTAAAACAAGTCTGCTGTAGCACAGTAACTAAAGAATGGTACTGATTAAAATCCTCTTTTCAAATACATGTCAGATCTCCTGACCAATTCATTTCCATTCATGATAACTAATTTTTTTTTTATTTAATAGAAACTGAATATAATAGAGAATGTCCACTTGTACACCACATGTTCAAAAGTTTGGGGTCGGTAGTTTTTTATGTTTTTGTAAATTACATTGTATTGTAAAAAACAGTAATATTGTCAAATATCAATACAATTTACTATTTCTTTTTGAATATTTTCATATTTTACATTTGCATTATGTAATTTAATACATTAGTGTATTTTCAGCAGCCATTACACCAGTTCAAAAGAACAGCATTTATTTGAAATAGAAACATTATTAATGTCTTTACTGCCACTTTTGATCAATTTAATGTGCCCTTGCTTTATTTTACAAAAGTATTTGTTTCTTACGGACTCCAAACCTTTTAACTGTGTCAGATACCATTCGTTGGATTTCATCGATTTAAACAGATTTTAGTGCACAAAAAGCATCCATTTGAACGCGGTTGATTTCAGATTGAAGGTTTCCTCTGTTTTATCATCTGTAGTGTCTCACCTGGACTCCATTCAATGCAGTTGTACTTCGGCTCTCCATTTTGATATTTATCAGAGTAACGCGCCACATCTAAAAAAGAAAACAACAAAGAGAGCCGTTCAAACCTGATCTTCAACTGATGGGTCGTTGGCTTTGAATATCTCTCAGTGACTGCCCACAGTTCAAATGCAAATCCAGAGACTGCAGGACCTCCTTCTCCAAGTCATGCTGGATCTTCATCCTTTGTGCTCAGAATTGGCCACTCTTTATACACCAATGTATCGCCCACATTTTGCCGCCACCCGTCTTACCTGTCTTTGTTCTGGCTGCTTTTATGTGGAACGGCAGGTTCTTGCTGGAGGCTCTCAGCTCCTGCTTAAGAGCGAGCATGTAGTCCACCTCTTCTCCTGTATGCAGAGGCACTGGCCTAAACTGCATAGGCTGAATGAACAATAATATAAATAAAAAAAATAACATTATTTTTTAAAGAAAGAAATTAAGTCAGTCAGTCACACAGGTTAATGAAAATTATTAGCCATGGTTTTATTACAGTAACCACAGTTTACCACAGTATTTGTACTAAAACTGCAGTAACCACAAATTTACCATGGTAATAATCATACATTTTAGTACTTATGTAACACCATGTTTATTTTTCATGAGGTACCCTCAAAGATGCACCTTTGTAATTGATCTACCCTTAAAGCATGCATACTTGTATGTTACTAATATGCTCTCTTTTAGGGGTATAGGTGCACCTTTGAGGTTACTGCTCCAGTAAACGGCTAAAATACAATTATAGTATATTTTATTTCTGACAGTGCAAACAAAAAAGGCCTATGAAATGTTAAAAATAATGTGGCTTTAAAATCTAATATTAAGTGAGTATAATTACTGATTATATATTCTTTTAATAATTTAAAAGATCAATTTAGTTTATAGGTATATGTATCGGTATCGATATCGACGATACTGGGCTTGAAAATATCGGTATTGGATTGAAAATAAAATAAGAGGTATCGGCCCTCCCTCCGGCACAGTCACTAGTGCTTGAACACGTGGTAGTTGTGTTTACATCCGGGACATGCACACGTGCGGTCTGTCTCACTTTACAGTCCAACCTGAAAGACTCCTCGCTAGGAAGATCCTAGTGTTACAAATTACTATATTGCTACTACAAGTGTTATTAAGTGGGTATTAACAATCTTAATAATGCTGTATACTTTTTTTTGGATGCCGCATATAAAAAATATCCCTACCTGAGAGATATCACTGAAATAGTTGTTGTGAGAAATATCTTGTATATCTGTTACTGTACGAGTAATTTATTATTATTATTATTATTATTATTACTGCTCTCTAAACAGACCTTTTTATTATTATTATTGCTCTCTACACAGACTTATTATTATTATTATTATTACTATTATTATTACTGCTCTCTACACAGACATTATTATTATTATTATTATTATTATTACTGCTCTCTACACAGACATCATTATTATTATTATTATTATTATTATTACTCACATTTTAGTCTGGGACTATGTTTAAGCCTTAATTGTCTGTAAAACCGGGGGATAGACTAGGTTATGAGTAAAATTCATAGTTCACTCAATTCATGTGTAAAATTCAAAACATCTGATAGAATATGTTGTGTTGACATTCTGGAGTCCTCATTTGAGGTGTAGCCACAATCCCCAGTGTTAAAGAAATAGTGTCCTTTTAATTAAAGACCATTGTTATGCTCTGAAAGTGAAAACTGCACTGAGAACAGTACAAAGAAGCTTAAAGACCCACTTTACCTGAATTCACCTTATGTTGTTTTTTTGTTTTTTTTCCAGCAGGTGGCAAATGGTGGCATGTCCTCACATGATTTCACATCAGGGAAACTATGGCAGAAGGATGGAGATTGAGGTCTCTGCAGAGCATAAGTGGGCGTTTGTGGGTGTTTTCAAACTGCAGGGTGTTTCTCAATCATGCAATCAAAATGATCCCCCTTACCTAACCCCACCCCTAAACCTACTATCACTATGACATCAGCCAATCAGGAAACATGGTCTAAAAACACCCCGATCAGGCAACTCCCATTACTTTCCTGCAGACCTATACTTGGAAGGATCTGGCGTGACTAACATGTCCTTTTTTGCACACCCTTTGTTATAGCTGTGTGGGAGAAATGTACTTTGCCTGTTGCTTAAGTCAAACATTAGGGTGGAAACCTGAGTCACAAAATGTAAGTATAGTCTGACGTGGGATCAACATTTTACCAATGAACCACTGAATAAAGGCAGACAATTAAAGAAGCATTGAAGCTTTTTTCCTCAAACCATGTACAGCATAGAGTTGAGGATGCAAAGAATTTAATGACTTCAATGAAACACTAACAAGAGGCGATAAATGATAAATAAATGTTGTATGTCATAAATGTTTTTCATAAACTTTATATAGTATTTATAGTACTTTATATATATATGTATATATATATATCACTGATATATATGTATATCTATATATATACATAGTGTTTTTTTATTCGTTTTTATTAATTAATTTGTTTTCATTTTAATTTAAGTTTTAGTACTGTGTTTTTACCATTTTAATTTTTGTTTAACAAAAAAAAAAAAGTCATTTCAAGGAATTTTTATTTTATTACAAATAACTTATTTCTAGATTTGTTTTATTTCATTTTAGTTAACTATAGCAAATTGATTTTCAGTAAAAACTCAAATTCTTAATCATGCCTCCACATTAGATTTTTATTATGCCAGAAATTTGATTTGTATCATAAGGAGTTTCCTATTTCCTATTGTTGGCCGTATATTTCCATGGCAACACATCCTGTGCAGTGAGGTAACGCGTGTCCCTCTGGTTAGGGTGCAGCAGACCAGTGTGTCACATTAACCCCTGGTTAAACACATGTTATACCGTTTTGACGCAAACACCCAGTAGTGCAGTGCGTGCAGGTCAAACAAAATGGCTTTGACATGGATCTCACTGAAGAACAATGAAAAAGAGGAGAGAGTAAAGCAAAGGAATTAGTATGATTTATCATCCATTACTAACTTTAGGTTCATAAAGCCACACCTCCATCCCCGACTGATTGACAGCTGATATTCTGTCTGTGGATAAAAGCTGTGCAAATAAAAGATTACGCTTCATTTACCATCAGTACCACTCTGGAAACTCTATTACAGAAGCTCTTCAGCCAGAGGAATAGCATTCATTTCCCTCTCTTCAGCATGAGGCACATTAGATTACATTATACTGGGGTTGCATTCTTCTTCCTGCTGTTCTCTGCAACAGGTAAGTTGACTTTTGCATTTAGTGAAACATCTTGAGGATTTCACAATAGAAATAACAAACTGTGGACAGACGGTTATGTTACAGTAACTCACTTTTTTCCTCATTTGATTCAGTGACTCCAAAATCAGCTAGATTGTAGTGAATATTAGTTTAATACTTAAGACATTCACATCTGTTCTATTTTTAAGGGATAAAAAATAGACTTCATTACTGTATTTGTGACAAACACAGGTTGTACTCAATGAATAAAATCAATAAATAAAGAACTAAAATAAAAGCCCCATTAAGGAAAAGTGCTCAAATAATTAGCTGTTAGAAAAAAGATATAATGTGTTATAGCATAATAAGACTACATCTGCTTACTACATGGGAGGAATTTAAAAATATATATATATTATATGCTATTTGGAAAATGTCTGATCTCAATAAATTTTTTTATACATATAAAAATAATAATAAATAAAATCCAGCATTATATACTGGTTTTATTCCCAAATTGAAACTATTGTCAGCAGTCTTGAATAGTTGAATAGTTATTGAAAAATCAAATATCTATCTATTTATCTATCTATCTATCTATCTATCTATCTATCTATCTATCTATCTATCTATCTATCTATCTATCTATCTATCTATCTATCTATCCTACATGGGAGGAATTTAAAAATATATATATATTATATGCTATTTGGAAAATGTCTGATCTCAATAAATTTTTTTATACATATAAAAATAATAATAAATAAAATCCAGCATTATATACTGGTTTTATTCCCAAATTGAAACTATTGTCAGCAGGTTAGCAGTCTTGAATAGTTATTGAAAAATCAAATATCTATCTATTTATCTATCTATCTATCTATCTATCTATCTATCTATCTATCTATCTACACAACACACACATTAGATGGTTACTCACATTGCAATGAATAATCATGTTATGTTTTAGGTGCTGAGCCCTACAGTCTTTTAAAAGTTCTCGAGGGACTCCAGGCAGCCCCTCAGAACTACCCTTCACCCCTGTACTCATTCTCCTTCTGCATGGAGATCAACAACCGCGTCTTCAGCGACACCCTCCTCAACACAACCTCACAGCAGTACCAGCACATGCATGCAGAGGTTGCTGGAGTTGTAAGTGTTTCCCGTGATTTATCAATGAATAAATGTCAGTGCCAGCTTTATTGACTAGAGCTGCCATTTTATACATAATAGCAACAACATATTCAGTACATGTAAGTTGTTGACCCTAAGAGAGATCCTGCGAGCATGAACTTGTTCACTCTTGGCAGCTGGACATCGCCTTTAACTGCTCTGACTGTGACACAAGAGAAACCTACAGAGGAGTGACAAACATACAGTTCAGGTAGATCATCTGATTCTTTTACTAAAAGTGTTTGTCTGTTCGTCCTACATGATTGTAAAATTAATAATAAATCGTGATAAAGAAGTGTGCTTGATTTGTACACTTAATATAATATAAAATTAATGAAATGAAAATGCCACTGAAGTGTATCTAAAGAGAGATACTTTCATGCCGGTCTCTTAACACTAAAAAGTGCACATTGCAATAATGTCTAATTAAAATTTTTACTTTAAAGTGCATTTGAAATCATTATGCTCGAATAATCTTGTTTTTGTGTGTGTGTGTGTTTTAAAGAAGTGCCCTTATTTTGATGTGTTGACTAACATACTAAAGCACATGTCAAGTACTTGATTATAGTTGTTTACTGTATTGTGATATTCAATATTACATAAGTTAATATATTTCAAATGTACCGAGTGTCAACTTCATCATTACAATTATGTAATTACAAATATATTTAAATACAAGTTTCAACATGACATTAAAAGTACATTTTGGTTTATCGAAAATGCTTGTCAGTACATTCAGCATTACACTTTAATCAAATTTCAAAGACAACAGAAGTAATTATGAAATTACATATAAAGATGTAATGGGTTTTAAAAAGCACTCTAAAGTTCAGCGAATTGCTTTTGATATAAATAAGCTACTACAACACATTTTCATTTAATTGCAATTAAAATGCAGTAAAGCTTTAGAAAACATTATATGTATATTCTTTTAAACTATGTTATTTCTGTAATAAGCACTTTACCTAAAGGGATAA